ACTTTGGAATAGTGTGACCTGCTTTCTGTTTCTAGGCTTTCTGTGGTGGTTGGGTGCTATTGTATCTGATGTTGAAGCCAAAGCAGCTTCATTCAAGATCACTTTGGGTGCCCCCTAACAGCTTTCAGCAAACCCTGTATGTAACCTTAACAAATAAGGCTGAGTTGGAAATAGAAGAAACATGCTGAGAACTTCTGCGTGTAGCAACCACAATTACACTACCTGCAGCAGTCTGATGGGCTCAGTATCTTTGCTTCTCCTCACAGCCCCCACCCCCCGACAAGATAATGCCTCTCTTCTCTGTCTTGCTACTCTAATCAAACTGAGAGGTTACACTGGGGGCTGGGGGCACCTAGGAAACTCAGCAGAAACATTTGCAGAAGGTCAGCCCTTCACAAACAGCATTTTTGGTTGCCCTACGCATCAACAGTCAGATCCTTTGGTACATGCCTGGACTGGAGCTGGTGACCTTGGCTTTCCAAGCTGTCCTGCCATTCTTTGCTAAGGGCTGTGGTGCCCAATTCCTGTCTGAGCAGTCAAGCTAAGGACCTAGAGAATTAATAGACTGACATGGAATCTGTCCAAGATGAAAACCGCCTTCTGCACTGCCGACCCATCCCTGGGCATCCCAAGCATGAAGAGGACTCATTTCCCCTAATGCTGCCCCAGAGGGCCTGGGGGGTAGGCTGCTGTCACGAAGCCCTTGAAAAGAATGGAGTCTCCTCTCTTTCAGGGTCAGTGAAGCCCAGAAATGTCCCGCCCGTGTCTCTTGTCTGCTCTCCAAGCACCAAGAAAAATGCCAGTAGGTAAAGTACCGTGTTTGTAAGAGGGAAAAAAAAAATCCAGCTCAGGAAATCAACCAAGGGGAGTCTGTCAGGGAAGATATCCAGGAAAGAGATTCCTCTTGGCCTAAAGATGTCTCCATCAGGGAGCAGAACTATTTTGGCCTAAATAAGGGCCAGGGTAGGGGGAGAATAAACCAATAGTTTTTGAGAACCTATTATGTGCCAGACACTGTGCTGGGTGCTTGCACATAAACGATCTTATGCTTATGGCCATTTTATGGGTATCACTATAATGATGTTGCCCACCCCATTAGGTTGAACATAAATCAATCCCAAAATGTTACTTATTTTTTCTATTTTCAAGGGTTTCCCTGGTAGCTCAGCTGGTAAAGCATCCTTCTGCAATGGAGGAGACCCCGGTTCTCCAGGAAGATCCCCTGGAGAAGGGAACGGCTACCCACTCCAGTATTCTGGCCTGGAGAAGTCCGTGAACTAAAGAGTTGCACTAAATTCCATGGACTAAAGAGTTTAAAGCTAAGAAAATGGAGAGCAGGCAGAGACTTTTGTGCAAAAGTCTTGGAGCTTGAAGTTGTAAAACTAAGGATCTGATCATATTTATATTTGTGCCGTTCCCATACTCATGCTCACATCTCTCTATCATATTGCTTTGATTTCAATATCCAGTTTTCTATGTTCTAGTTCTAGTTCCATCATTAGGAATTAGAGATATCTGGGACTTTTTCAGCAGTAACCTGAACAATAAAATTGATTTTTTTCTCCTAAGAGTCCCGTGAGCCAGTATGCATGCCACCACTCCCCCACCCCCTCGCCACAAGGCTATCTGCCTATGAGAAGAGACCTCCCTCTCCAAACCTTTCTACCGGAAAGTTCCAGCTGGTTCAGCTTCAGCCAAAACCCAAGGGATCTGTCTGAAGCCAGCCAGTGCGAAGTGAAGATGCAGTGAACTTTCCGTCCATTCAGGCTGCTACAGCCAACCATGTTGCCCCCTCCATTAAGGAAGTCCTGTGGGGGGTACCAGGGAGGAGTTAGGAACTCCCCAGTCCAGTCTCCCTAGAAGGCTCTTTGAAGGTGAGAACAGCAGCAAATCTGCATTTGGGTTGGCTAGTCCTCCTTCATGCTTTTAGCAACTCCAATCCCTGATCCTTTCCTGATTCTGAAAACTTCAGAGGCCAAGCATTAGCACGGTGGGGGAGATGAGCCACAGCATGCATAATACAAGCTATGCCACCATCCCCTTCCTCTGTTAAGTACACGTTTCATCACTTACCCTGATCAAGAGGTACATTCAGTCTTGGAAAACACTTCTTAGAAGCCAGCATATTTGGAGGTTTAAGGGAGACGTTTTTAAGGACCACTTGCATACTGAAGGAAAGTAACTAGAATTCCACCCCCTCCCTTTCCTTTTGTTGGCATCAGCACTCAAAAAAGTCTCAACTCTCCATCCACCTGAAAGCAATGACAGTGTTCAATATCAGAACAGTTAAGACAATATCTGCTCTTTGCACACCTTCATTATCAAGGAGCAATCTCTTTCAAATGCCTTCTTCCCCACCCTATGCCACTCGAAATGCCTGGAGAACCAGATAATAGACTTTCCTATGCCTTGCCAGATGAAAGGCACATTTGGGAGAATCGGGACCTAGAGGGTCACCCCGGAGTGTCTTGAGTGGGCTTCATGGTAAGGATCTAAGCAAAGACAAGGAAGCCAGAGCAAGCACATGTTAGGGGCTGAGGCTGAAGCAGTAGGGTTGGGTGGGACTCAGGACACCAGCGTGCTTTAGTTTAGCAGAAGCTACATAGAAAAGAATCAGAACTTTGGATCATGGGGAGAAAAGCATAATAATAAAAGAGGGGTGCTTCAAGATAGCTGTGTGAGTTTGACCTTGACCTTGTCGTTGATGGACAATTGTCTACCTCTGAGGGCAGAGAGACCTCAACCACAAATTCATTGGGTGGGGGTGATCTAGTGGATCCAAATTAGCTGAACTTTTTATCCTTTCACTATTAAAGCAGTCTTGAAATTAGCTGCTGCTCTGTGAGACTTGGATTGCTATATCTGATAGTCCAACAGTAAAAAATGGGCATTGCATCTCTTTAAGTCCTAGTCTAATAAATACAGGTCATGGAGCAGTAGAAGAAAGGCCTAACATATCCACTGGATTGGCCAGTTTTGTCTTTTTTGTTGTTGTTGCTGTTGTTGTTGTTTACTTATTGGCAAGGCTATGAGTTAACGAGCTGAGTCTGAATCTTTTCATGAGAAGAGATAGTTCATCTCACTCGTGAAAATCTGGCATCTGCAAATGGTTTTAACTTACCCCTAGAAGTGGAAATAAAACGGGGGGAGAGAAAATATGTTTTCTAAGTATCGTGGGTTTTCTGAGAACCACACTTTTTGTAGTGATTGTGAGAGAGCACTCTGACCTCAACAAATTCTGATTTGGTTAATCCTGGTGGTGGCGGTAGCAGGGTGGAGGGGGTCTGTTTTATGTGTGGTCTAGATTAACATTGTGAGGCTGGATCAATGTTTGCGTCAGGGCTGGGGAATCCCCAAGGGGCATTCAGGTCAAAAGAAACCAGTAAGTGACAAATCTCACAGCCTAACCAGGAGGACCTGTCTCACGAGCCCTGGCTTTCTGAGATCATTACCAATCATCCTAGACAGTGCTGGCAAATGTCACTTACCTCACCATCCAGGAACCTGTGGCTCAAAACCCATGAAGAAAAGCCTTGGATCTCAAATGAAAATGTCTAGAGTGAAGCCATCACAATATGGTAGAATGAAATGCAAATTTAATTGGAGAAAAAAAAATCAAGATGATTCCATCCTGTATTCAGGGGCAGTCCAATTCAGGGGCTCTTTCTTTGTTACCCCCCATATTCTCAATCCGCCCTAAGTAAGGTCTTTCACTCTATATGACTAGGATTAACGGATTGAGGGTGCCTCCATCTGATTTCAATTACATCACTCTCAGATACCTGGGGTACCTTTAGTGAGTGAGACTGCTCTGCCAGAGCGTCTTGAAACTTCATTTTGGAAGAGGTAGGATTTGCCGTGGTTTTCCTGACCTGGGGGGCTGAGTACTGGGCTGATTCTGGCACGAGGCAGGGAGAGGAGACAGGGAAACTATTATCAGCCATCTGGATATAACTCAGAGGGGAACTTGCCAAAGAAAGAGCAAAGCCACTGCTCCTGGGAGGGGCACCTCAGAGAAAGAGCTGGGTAGACAGTGAATGGAGGAAGGATGGTGATCAAGAGGGGGTGATGGTGGCAAGGGTTAATAGGAAGATGAATGTGAGCAGCAACATTGCGGAAAGCACGAGGCAAAGGATGAGGTGTGTCCTGGGTGTCTGAGGACTGCTTTGAAAACTCATCTGGTCTCCTCTTGGTCGCTGGTGCTCCTACAATAGCAAGAATGAAAGGGAAAGGGTGTCAGCAATCTACATTCCATCACTCAGAGCTCCCTGTGAGCACTCAGTTCCAAGTTCTCCCATCCTCTCCTTCAGCGGTATCATTTTGGTTTCTCTGAACATAGCAGAGACACGAGGGCCAGATGCTCACCGCTACAGTTAGGTAAAGGTATGCTCAGCCTTACCAGCAGGTGGCCAAATATGAGTTAACTCCGAACTGGTAGATCTGGACCAACTATTCATCAAGAAATCACATTTCTGACAAAGTACAGCTTGTGATATCAACCAGGTCAAGCCAGAAAGAGTTGCTTCCACTGGTAGCTGAGGGCCAGGAGGTTACATCATAGACAAATATGTTTAACCCAACCACTCCGTTAAGACGACAGCCCAATTGTTCAGGAGATGCTGCGGCAAGCCTGCTCTTGCATCTGCTGTGTTATTATCAGCTGGTACCATTCTGACCCCATTATGACATCACTCTGCCTACTTGGAATGGGGCAGCTAATCGGAGGTCTTGAGACAGGGGTAGGGGAAATAGGTAATATCTGGTGTGACTGCTGTCCCACTGTGTAGATTTAGAGATACAGAAGTGAAACTGGAAAGCATCACTCAATCCATAGAGGAATGGGGATCCTATGACTTGTGTGTGCACCAGTAATGTCCAACTCTTTGCAATCCTTTGGACTATAGCCTGCATATAGTCTGTCCATGGGGTTTTTCAGGCAAGAATACTGAAGTAGGTTGTTTCCTCCTCTGGGGGATCTCCCCAACCCAGGGACTGAATCCACATCTCCTGCACTGCAGGTGGATTCTTTACCTGTTGAGCCACTGGGGAAACCCCATCCTATGACTTACCTGTATCTCAAATGTCCAGGAAGAATCAATGTGGGAAAATGCTTTAAGGTTCTGCGTGAAGTGAAAAGGATTACACCTTTGCATGGTACAAGAAAGTTGAAATAATATGTGGGATTCTCCCAGGGACCTAGATACCTTGAAAATATGGGCTGGTGAGTGACCAGCTTTAAAAAGGTAAGTGGCTTGTGTATTTCCCAATTCCCAAATGACTCTGTATCAAGGGAGCTCAATCATGAACCAACCTGAAACAGGGAAAGGAGTGACTCAGGATAGGATCTGTGTGTAAATCAAGGAGGTGGTTTCATTACCTGCAGTTAAAAAGCCTGATCGAGAACCTTGGTTTCAACTAACACCAACCAGAAAGTCAGAACTTGAGCTGCCAGTGAAGATTCTGGTCTTGACTCTGCCATTTGCTCCTAATTGAAATCTAGAACACGGCACTCAGTACCTTAAATTGCCAACTTAGAAAATGTGTGTACTGCTACCTGCCCTACCTCACAGGATTTTATTTTTAAAAACACAGGTGTGAACATGCTCCACAATTTAAAAAGGCCTCACCTCTGTCATGGAAATTCTTCTTAGTCATTGTGGCAGTTCCTGTTTTTTCTGCCTGAGCTTCAGAGAGCACAGATTGGACAAGCATTGCTATGTAAGTAATTGCCTTATGGACTGAGTCTTTTTTCAAAAAAAACAGGCTCAAAATGCTCTAGCTCCAGGAAGTTTATGGAACAATCTTGGAACCAGGTATGAGCTATTCATATTAGGTAATAAGAACAAGTTTCACTTCCAGTTTCACATTGTCCTTTGGTCCTTGCTTCTCAGGAAATTCCAAGAACCATGAATGTCACTGAGGGTCTCCTAATCTCTGGTGATGCCAGCAAGTTATTTACATTTCCCGCGGTCTTGGCTGCCTCACGCAATTGTGGTATTTAATGAGATCATGCAACTAAGATGCTTAGCACTGAGTTGGCACCCAGTAAATGTTAAATGAAATTATGAAGGAGGCAGAAGAAACCAGCCTCTGGAATGTCATCCTCCTTGGTGGCTCAGGATATCTTATTTTCTCATTGGTTCAAGGCACCTCCAAGAAGCTCTGATGCCTCAAATTGCTACCCACAGGGCAGGGCAAAATGACTGCTATGGAATTTCTACCAAAGAGCCAGTAGAGGGAGCTCTCGAGTAAAACGTCCCTGGTCTGCCTCATTTCTCTATAAAACAAATCTCTGCCCAGAGGCCAGGGACTTTTTCTCTACCAGAAATCTTTTACTTAGAGAAAACTGGAGCCCTCATCAAAAGACCTGGACCCAGTCCTGTTTTCAGAGTAGCCAGGGAGGGGTTATTGTACTTTAGAAACAACTTGAGTCCCATGCCAAGATTGGGCTCTGGGCTACCCAAAATAGAAAGTTCCTATTAGGGCTGATCCCAGGAGATGTGGGGCTGAGACTTTTGAAGCTAACACTTTTCCAGCCCGTGGAATTTTGAATATTCTCTAGTTTTCTAATCATCCTCTCCCTACAAAGATTGAGATTCACAGTCCCTTATTGTTGTTCACTCACTCAGTCGTGTCCAACTTTTTGAGACTCCATGGACTGCAGCACACCCGGCATCCCTGTCCTTCACCGTCTCCCAGAACTTGCTCAAATTCATGTCCATTGAGTTGGTGATGCCATCCAACCATTTCATTTTCTCCTCCTGGCTTCAATCTTTCCCAGCATCAGGGTCTTTTCCAATGAGTCGGCTCTTCCCATCAGGTGGCCAAAGTACTGGAGCTTCGGCTTCATTATCAGTCCTTCCGATGAATATTCAGGATTGATCTCCTTTAGGATGGACTGGTTGGACTGCCTTGCTGTCCAAGAGACTCTCAAGAGTCTTCTCCAACACCACAGTTCAAAAGCATCAATTATTCGGTGCTCAGCCTTCTTTATGGTTCAACTCTCATATCCATTCATAATTACTGGAAAAAACCACAGCTTTGACTATACAGACCTTTGTCAGCAAAGTAATGTCTCTGCTTTTTAATATACTGTCTAGCTTTGTCATAGCTTTTCTTCCAAGGAGCAAGTGTCTTAATTTCATGGCTGCAGTCACCATCTGCAGTGATTTTGGAGCCCAGGAAAATAAAGTCTCTCACTGTTTCCATTGTTTTCCCATCTATTTGCCATGAAGTGATGGGACGAGATGCCATGATCTTCATTTTTTGAATGAGTTTTAAGCAGCTTTTTCACTCTCCTCTTTCACTTTCATCAAGAGGCTCTTCAGTTCCTCTTTGCTTTCTGCCACAAGGGTGGTGTCATCTGCATATCTGAGGTTATTGATGTTTCTCCCAGCAATCTTGATTCCAGCTTGTGCTTCATCCAGCCCCACATTTTGCATGATATATTCTGCACATAAGTTAAATAAGCAGGATGACAATATACGGCCTTGGCATACTCCTTTCCCAATTTGGAACCAGTCCGTTGTTCCATGTCCAGTTCTATTGCTTCTTGACCTGCATACAGATTTCTCAGGAGGCAGGTAAGGCGGTCTGGTATTCCCATCTCTTGAAGAATTTTCCACAGTTCGTTGTGATCCCCACGTCAAAGGTTTCAGCATAGTCAATGAAGCAGAAGTAGATGTTTTTCTGGAATTCTTTTGTTTTTTCTATAATCCAACGGATGTTGGCAATTTGATCTGGTTCCTCTGCCTTTTCTAAATCTAGTTTGAACATCTGGAAGTTCTCAGTTTACGTACTGTTGAAGCCTAGCTTGGAGAATTTTGAGCATTACTTTGCTAGCTATATGAAATGAGTGCAACTGTGCAGTAGTTTGAACATTCTATGCCATTGCCCTTCTTTGGGATTGGAATTAAAAGTAACCTTTTCTAGTCCTGTGGCTGCTGCTGAGTTTTCCAAATTTGCTGGCATATTGAGTGCAGCACTTTCACAGCATCCTCTTTTAGGATTTGAATAGCTCAGCTGGAATTCCATCACCTCCACTAGCTTTGTTTCTAGTGATGCTTCCTAAGGCCCACTTGACTTCGCACTCTAGGATGTCTGGTTCTAGGTGAGTGATCACACCATCGTGGTTGTCTGGGTCATTAAGATCTTTTTAGTGTAGTTTTTCTGCATTTCTTGCTACCTCTTCTTCATATCTTCTGCTTATGTTAGGTCCATACTGTTTCTGTTCTTTAATGTGCCCACCTTTGCATGAAATTTTCTCTTGGTATCTCTAATTTTCTTGAAGAGATCTCTAGTCTTTCTCATTCTATTGTTTTCATTGTTCACTTAGGAAGCCTTTCTTAAACTCTCCTTGCTATTCTTTAGAAACATGTATCCAGATGGATGTATCTTTCCTTTTCTCCTTTACCTTTGGTTTGTCTTCTTTGCTCAGCTATTGGTAAGGCCTCCTCAGGCAACCATTTTGCCTTTCTTTTTCTTGGGGATGGTTTTGATCACTGCCTCCGGTACAATGTTGTGAACCTCCATCCATAGTTCTTCAGGCACTTGGTCTATCAAATCTAAAAGATCACAGTCCCTAAAAGACCTTATTGCTCATGCCCTCAGTCATGTCCAACTCTGCATCTTCATGGACTGTGCAGCCCACCATGCTTCTCTGTCTATGGGACTCCTTAGGCAAGGATGCTGGAGCAGGGTGCCATCACCTCCTCCGCAGGATCTTCCTAACTCAGGGGTCGAATCTGTGTCTCCAGCATCTGCAGGCCAGTTCTCTACCACTGAGCCACCTGGGAAGCCCCAAAAGCCCTTATTAAAAGCTTGTTGTAAGGCAGTCATGGAGCCTGGATGCTGCTAAGCATCAGGCTGAAGGGAACAGGCCTTGCTCACTCTCAAGAGACTTTACATGTAGGCACCTGAGAACTCAGTGATGGACATGAACACCTTCTCAGATGAAAGACCAAAATGCTGCCGAGAGGTAGCAAGATGGACTCTGCGGAGCCTCTGAGACAAGCTTTTCCATAGTTCCTTCTCTGCTCAGACCCTTCAGATCAACCAGGAGGCCCATCATCAAGGGACAAACCTTGTTTGTTCCCCACACTGACTTTCTGGCTCATAGTTAATCAGTGTAATAGTAGGAGCCCCACGAGATGGCGGGAGATCTTGCCAGTCTTTCTTACAGTTAGCATTTGCTCAGTGTGGTTTTGATCAGCAGTGGCCTGCTTTGTGAAAGGGTACCCATGGGGCGGTGCGCCTCACCTACTTACAGGATGATACAATGCTCAGGAGGAACCCGGAACAAGATGAAGGCTTGCCATCAGGAAGCTTAAGAACATCTGAGTGTTCCTCTCCCACCTGCTGGATCATGATCAAGAATAACAACAGCTGATATGTACTGAATATTGACAAGCCTCAGGTGCTGTGCTAAGAGGTATGTATACATTATTCCATTCAACCCTTAGCAGCATCTTAGTGAAACAGTCGGAGAAGGCAGTGGCACCCCACTCCAGTACTCTTGCCTGGGAAATCCCATGGACGGAGGAGCCTGGTAGGCTACAGTGCATGGGGTCGCGAAGAGTCGGATACGACTGAGCGACTTCACTTTCTCTTTTCACTTTCATGCATTGGAGAAGGAAATGGCAACCCACTCCAGTATTCTTGCCTGGAGAATCCCAGGGATGGGAGCCTGGTGGGCTGGCGTCTAGGGGGTCGCACAGAGTTGGACATGACTGACGTGACTCAGCAGCAGTGAAACAGTACCTTTACACTGTCCATTTTGAGGTTGAAAAGCTGGGGCTTGGAGAGCCCCAAAATGACCTGCCCTGAGCTGAAGAGCTGTTTCAGTGTCTTGGCTGTATTCTGAAATACAGTGAACCCCTCTTTGAGCCCTAGCTGCATTCTCCAGAATAGACAACAGTTCCCTTCAGCATCAGGGGACTTTTCCAAGGGTAAGGGCAGCCTGGGCAGTGGGACACACCTTGTTAAGTTCCCCTCAGGCCCAATGGATGCATCTGATGTTCATTTTCATTGTATTGCCTCATTTCCATGGAGTAAGTGCTCCCTGTCTTGGGAGGAAACAATTACACAAGGATAAAGCTTTTGCCTTCCTCTTCTCTCTCTAAGATAATCCATCCGACACCTGGCCAAGCTGCAGAGAACAAACAGGACTCATTACATCTTGGGAAATTTCATTCGATTTTTAGAATTGGGGATGAGCTGGAAGATTGACAGCCGGAGACCTAGTTCAAGAGTAGAATTATTTAAGCCTTATGCCAGAAAAGAAAAGACTGTTTGGGCCCTGCCATTAAGAACAATCTATAGCGGGGGTAGGAGTAGGTAATAGATTTTATCAGCAGCTCTCAAGTCATGACTCCACCTACCCTGAGTTGTAACTTTGCTGGGCTCTGCGTGCCCAACTTTGGTTAAGGGTCAGCATTGCCTCTTTTGACACTGAGGTTTGGACCAGGTAGGGAAAACAGAGGCTGTATAGCTAACATCATAGGAGGCACTTCTCTTTAATCCGGGATGACAAAGGCCCTGCTTTCAATTACCCCTTGAGTTTGACTCTTCCTATTACCCTCTTCTCCTGAAGTCAACAGGGGGAAGCTGTCCAGTGAGAAGGTGGGTTTCTGATGATAAGAGAAAAAAAATGATACTGTCTTATAGAGCCTGAGAACCACTGGCCGCAGGAAGGAGACTCAGGTCTGTTCCAGGTCCCTCCTAACTTGTCTTCTCATGTTCTCGTCTCTAACGTTTTGACTCATGGAATAACTTGCTGTTCTGGGCCACCAGTATAAGCAAATTTGTTCCAATTGGTTTGAAATATGTTCAGTTACAAATCAAAAGAAAACTTTGGCCTGGATTGTAAATAACAGGAGAATTACTAATGTTTTGATTATATCTGGAGCTCATGCACAGGACGAGTTCATTCTGATTAGGGATTTGGGGCCCAGTTCACTTAAACAAGAGGCACCAAGCCCTCAGCAGGGACCAGCCTTCATCAGGCTGCAACTTGCAACTTGCTTCATTTGCATCCTGCTTGGAGCCTTCCGGGGCCAAACTGGTTACAGAATATATATGTTTTCCCTGAAATCGCCTTCAAATGCCTAGCAGTCAAGTCTTCCAAGGGACCTAAAGGGATGGGGGATTAGGGACAGAGATGCCTTAAGAATGGGGGAAACACTAATAATACTACTAAGAATTGACCGAGCACCTGTTATACACCAGGCAGTGTCCAGAAACACTTCACATAGCTCCATTTACTCATAGTAACCCTAGGAGGCAGGTACCAGTATTATTCCGGTCTTACAGATGAGAAAAGAGGGAGGTGACTGAACTTGTCCGAGGTCTCAGGGCTATTTAAGTAGGCAGGGTTCTCATCCAGGCTCTTTGGCTTATGCTCTGAGCCGGGTGCTAGATTCTCTCCTCTTCGTGGGAGGATCTCCGGTGGGGTCAGTGGGGGACGGTCTGGGCATGTATAGGTCTCAAATGAAAAGGGATCCATATTCAGTCTGGTGTTGTATTTGCCATGGACAGTGTGCAGAAGACCAGATACCACAGGGACTAATGGGCCCATAGAAACCTGTTGTCTGAGGCCTGGGGATCCCCTGACCCCTCGACCCAGTGCCATAGAAGAAGACTGTGATAGCAATAGCTTTAACACACCCTAGGAACTCCGGCACTCTGCTAAGTTGCTTCAGTCATGGCCAATTCTTTGCAAGCCCATGAACCATAGCCTGCCAGGCTCCTCTGTCCATGGGATTCTCCAGGCGAGAATACTAGAGTGACTCCTAAAGGGCAAGAATTATTCAACTTTCTCTGAGCGACAGTCATGAGATTGCATAAATTACAGGATGCATGGACTCTGACCCTTCATTTTAGAGTTGAGGTCGAAAGAGGCCAAGTGAATCACAAAGTCCACGAGGTTAGGGGAGCAGAGGCTGGACGGGAACCCGACTGCCTCCTGGTTCAGTCAGGCTGTCCGATCATGGGGTGTCTGAAGGCTAGGGGGTCAGATAAGAGAGTACAGTGCTTACTGATGAGGGAGGCTACTGGTACTCAAGACCCCACCTTCTAGAAAAGAGAGGGAGATGTTTTTCTAACTTGTGTCAGGAACTAGAGCCTGGACGGAGAGTCAGTTTACGCCAGCTCACAGGCCAGGTTGATTTCCCTGGTGGCTCAGACGGTATTAGCCTCTGTCTACAATGCGGGAGACCCGGGTTCGATCCCTGGGTCCGGAAGATCCCCTGGAGAAGGAAATGGCAACCCACTCCAGTATTCTTGCCTGGAAAATCCCATGGATGGAGGAGCCTGGTAGGCTACAGTTTACGGGGTTGCAACAAGTCGGACACAACTGAGCGACTTCACTTCACAGGCCAAGTTAGGGAATGAGCTCATTGATCTCTGTCTGCAAATATCCAGATCACCAGATGCACAGGTGGTGGGGGTGGTTAGCTTATAAAAGTCTGAGAGCTCAGACATCCGTAGGCTAACGAAGGGCAGGAGAACTTCTCTTGCCTTGGTGGAAGTGGTCAAAGAAGCGTTTTCAGGGAGGGATAGTGGCTAATTTGCTCTTTCCTTTTCTCTTACATCACCTCTCTGAACCATTTTTGTTTCCTAAATCTAAGTGAATTCAAGACAGAAAACTAAGTAGAAGCAAATCACCCTCGTAGTGAATTAGGATCCTAACTGCTGCCCCAGAGTGAGGGTAGGTGAAGCCACTCCCCACAAAGCCACTCCCTTCTCAGATTTGGTCATTCCTAATAGCCAAGATATGGTCTGGATAAGGCCTATAAATCTGGGACCTGACAAACCAAACATAGTCAGCCTGTGGGCTTCTAAGAGTATGAACTGCCCATAAAAACCTGGCCTTGTCCCCAAACATTACCAAGTCCTTGGAACTAAAACCTGGATCTTAACAGATGAGCTTTTTTCTTTTCAGCCGATACATCCACACACACTGACATGCTCATATAAACTCATGGATGAAAGTGTTCCTGATATAGTGGGACACAAGACATAGAAGTCTGCAACAGGGAAAGGAAGCCTATCACCATAGGCTTGTTGGTCAGGCAAGGGCTATATAAGTTCAAAAGAACTCAGGGTAGGTGTAAGTCTTACTGAGAGAAGAATGTGGTCTGCTAAAGGCCTCTTTCACCTTTTGAACTGTGAGTGCCATGGTGGCAAGCAGGATCCAGATCTCTGAATCTGCTGAGCCTAGAATATGGTTTTTCCAGTAGTCATGTATGGATGTGAGAGTTGGACCATAAAGAAGGCTGAGTGCCAAAGAATTGATGCTTTTGAGCTGTGGTGTGGAGAAGACTCTTGAGAGTCCCTTGGACTGCAAGGAGATCAAACCAGTCAATCCTAAAGGACACCAACCCTGAGTATTCATTGGAAGGACTGATACTGAAGCTGAAGCTACAATACTTTGGCCACCTGATGTGAAGAGCCAACTCATTGGAAAAGACCCTGATGCTGGGAAAGATTGAAGGCAGGAGGAGAAGGGGACAACAGAGGATGAGATGGTTGAATGGCATCACCAACTCAGTGGACATGAGTTTGAGCAAACTCCAGGTGATAGTGAAGGATGGGGAAGCCTAGCATGCTGCGGTCCATGGGATCCCAAAGAGTCAGACGTGATTGAGTGACTAAAAAACAAAGTTTATGTCCTACCAGACCCTCCACGATGTTGATGAGGCCATGGGGACTGGGTAATTTATAACTTTCTTCTGTTTTCTATTAGAGAATGAGGTCATTGAAAATCAAGACCTGAATGAGGAGTAGATGGTCATACTTGCCCCCAAGGAATCACTGAGGGACTCTCACAATGTCCAAGGAGAACTCTGAATATCTGGCCAGTGGAAAGGAAGAGACTTGTGAGTCTCCCCTGAGTCAAATGCAGATGATCTTCTTATACCCAGACTCTTGAGGTCCAGACTTGTGCTAAGTATTGACTGGGACCCTTTCTCCTTACCTGGGTACCTCCACTTTTAGGACTGGGAGCTGGGAAAAAAGGGTTTATGGGCTTTGAACTGAAGGGAAAGGTCCAGGGAAGATCCCAGGCCTGTCCCTTGCTTGGCAGGGTCAATGAGAATAGTTCCTTTGACTTTCACTAGGGGAAGAAGAGGGAAAGTAGATTTTACCAGCATCTCTCAAGAGGAGGACCTGAGTATATATGTGAAAAGGTCTAAGAACAACTCCACTAGCTTCAGAACAGGAAGAATCTAGCCAGGAAAGAAAGTCATATGATGGAGATGCCATCCCACACTGGGCCATGAGAAGATACTTCCCAAGTCACTTTTCTGATGCTTCTGTGGGCCCATCAGTGGCCAGAGGTATAATAATAAAGACAACAATAAAAATAACAGTAATAGATCCTTTGCCATGTGCCAAAACCTTTGCAAATAACTCAATAAATTATAATAACTATTTGTGGTGAATACTATTATTCCTCTCATCCGGTCCTATCACTTCATGGCAAATAGATGGGGAACAATAGAAACAGTGAGAGACTTTATTTTCTTGGGCTCCAAAATCACTGTAGATGGTGAATACAACCATGAAATTAAAAGATGCTTGCTCCTTGGAAGAAAAGTCGTGACCAACCAAGACAGCATATTAAAAAGCAGAGACGTTACTTTGCCAACAAAGGTCCATCTAGTCAAAGCTATGGTTTTTCCAGTAGTCATATATGGTCAAACCCTGAACTATTTACTGTTACACTCAGGACACTGAGAGTCTAGCCTAAGCAGAGCCCTATGTCTACCTCTACAGTTGAGTGAAGTGAGACAGAGAGGAAGGCACGGTTTAAAAAAAAAACATTAACATCTTCTTCTGTGCACGCGCATATGTGCAGATTCATGTATCATGTATGTAGAAGAGAGTGTGTTTAGGTAAGCTACTTCTCCTTTCATTCTCCATACATTAGACATTATAATGTGAACACTCCCACTTTGGGGGCTTCCCAGGTGGTGCAGTGGTAGACAATCCACCTGCCAATGGAGGAGATGCAGGTTCCATCCCTGGGTCAGGAAGATGCCCTGGAAAAGGAAATGGCAACCCACTCCAGTATTCTTGCCTGGAAAGATTCCATGGACAGAGGGGCCTGGTGGGCTGGAGTCCATGGGGTTGCAGACAGCTGAACACGACTGAGCAGGCACACACTCCCACTTTTTAGGTGAAGTAAGCAGGTCACAAAGAAGCTAAACAATTTGTCCAAGATCATACATCCACTCAATTTCTTGAATCTATGTGGTTTGATGCCAAATCCATGGCTTTTTCACTGTAACATACTGTCACAATAATCAGAGTCAGCTAGCATTTATTACACACCCACCACAGGTTAAGCACTGTGCTAGGCTCTTTCACAAACAATAAATAGTTATTCATTGACTGGTCTTCCAGTTCACTAAGCTGGGCTGTAGCTGCAGCAGCCTCCTAGTCAAGGTTATATAAAAGAATAAATCAGAGTAATTCCTTTTCTTCTTTTCTCTAGATATTCTCAGTAGCTAAGTCCAAGCTAAATATTTCACAAAAGGGTGCTGTTGTCACCTGAAGGACCAAGGAAAAAAGAAAAACCAGATTAAGGGTGAAAAACTCAAGTCTCAAAGTCCCCGATCCAATGATGGAGGGTCAGTAGTGTCTTTGTTCTCTTTGCTGGATGCATTTCTAATGCTATTCTATTTCCATTCTAGTCCACCCCAGATTTCTGAGGTGCCCTCTAGCTTTGCTCCTTCAAGGTAAAGAAGTAGGGAGGCAGTTGATGATGGAAGGAAGGAAAAATTCCCTTGTTTCTAGAGTCCATCAGGACTATAGGTCTATCTTCCTCTTGACCCTTTGAGCCTCGAACTCTTAATTCTTCCATGTCAACAACAGTTGACTATATTACCAAAGTCAGTGCTGAGAACCTGTCACACTAGCCCAAGAGATCCCTGATGAGACTTTGGAGCAGTGGGGAAGTAAGTAATAATTGATCAAGTACTAAAGAATAGCAAAATTTCTCATGAAGCAAGCTAAGTATTTTTTCATTTGATTGTAGATGGTGAAACCTAAGTACATATCAGGCAGAAGATCTGCTTGATGGAGCCAAGCTCGAAAGTGGTGGGTGGGACTTGGATAGACGCTTCATTTCCAAGGCCTGGGCTCTAACCCAAGGATTCAGCAGATTAGGGAGCTATCAACAGATGAATTCTGTCTTCAAAGCTGTGACACCCTCACCAGCAAGTGGTGGGCTTTTTGTAGAGTGAGACTTGGTTAGAGAAGGAGGAAACCCCAGTGGAGGAAAAATGGAGGCTAATGCAGTTTTTGTTGTTGTTTTTGCTGCAGATGGATTCTTCACTTGAGGAGGGAAAATAAGCAACAGTGCTCTCAGTCTAGGATCTGGGTGACTTCTTGCCTAGGCTGGCTTCGTGGGTGTGCAACTTGTGTAGACACACATGGCCCTGTGCTCAGAAGGGCCATGTGCTTGGTTTAATCCTCTGCGGTCATTGTCCTGAGATTCTTAATAATCGTATCTTTGAACTTGTGTTTTGTAAGCAGAGTCTGCTGTGAGACAATGGAGAATGCATGAGTAGAGAAGACACGTACCATACATGTGTTCACCATTCCTCACTGCCCCCATGATGTTGGCAGTTCCCCCAAGAGCACAGAATTCCAGTGGGAGCCCAGTGAGATGCAAAGTAAGTCAAAGGTGTGTCTATGAGAAGTGGGGGGGGGGGCATGGACAACATCAAGAGGTCCTGCTGCTGGAACCAGAACTTACTTAAGCGTAGAAATAAGGCAGCGGGGTTCTATGGAACACCAGTGACCAAGGACCCCTACTTTATCATTTCTTACTCGTGTTCCTTCCCTCTATTTGCCAACCACCTATGCGGAAAAGGATGGCATGGAAGGAAAGCAGAGACTAGAGCAGTCCACAGTTGCTTCTCCTTCCAGTCCTTCCTTCCTCATCATTAAGCTGAAGTCAGAGATGCTGGTAGAACATTCACATATTAGAAGTCAGATGAAAGCAGTTGAGTTCATTTTGTTCAACGTGTCCAGTGTTCTGGTAAGAACTAAACACATATGAAGGTATGACCTATGAAATACAAGTTGTGTGATTTCAGTGATTCTGCAAATGAATTAAATGCTCTTATATTTGCATTTAAAACTAGCATTGCACACTATAAAGAGAGATGGTAAAATTCATGCTAATGAAAATTTTTATTTTTATTTAGCATGACAAGAAACTAGCAAATAAAAAACATGACAAGAGAGAGACTCAAGGAAAAAAGCTTTATATTTTAGTACCTTTAATAACACTTTTTTCCTGCGTTTTTGAGTGAGGGACCTTACATTTTTTTTTACTGGGCCTCGTGAATTATGTCGCTGGCCCTGCTCCTATCCTTATTTTTCTTACGAGAAATAGAAGCAAAGCACCAGGGCTAATTCAAGGCGATGAACAGAAAACTTGGACTTGATTCTTCTCCTAAGCAGGTGGGCACCCGTTCGCAGTAACAGTGGTCTCCAACGTCGAGTGCAGGTAGAACTGACACTCCTGAATGAATATGAGGAAACCCCAGGCAAATTCAGGTTCACCACATATACTCAGGGACGTCAGATCCACCCCCAAACCAGAAGTGCTATTTCTCCGTTGGCGTCTTCACACGCGACAGAGGTGAAGAGAGTCCGCTCTTTTGTGTGCTGTCCGTGAGCTCATAGGTGGAGAGAACTCTGCATGTGCACAAACACACACATGCGTGCACGCTGTGGTTGGTCTTGACGCTGCACGTAAGTGTTTGCATGTGATGTGGACTTGGGCCCCTCATCACCTAAGAGAGGCGGTGTTACGTGGCTCTCGGGGGCGGGGTTGGGGGTGTCGAGGACCGGCTGATTGACAGAATACCTTTAGGGCTGGGGTGGACACGGTCCTTCTGGACCTCGGTCCTCCAGAGACCACAGCTGAGGGCGGAGAGCTAGGCTGGTGGGTTTGGGGGGCTGGTGGGGGGACACATGGCTCTATTTCCAGAAGCAGTTTTTCCTGTAACCACTCTCCTCTCCGTTTATATCACAAGAAGACAAACACCTGTTGACTTAAAGAACAGAAGGGTTTTCGACTTCCTTCCGAAAGGAGTAACAGAAGCAACCCTACCGCCTCCGAGGCTGTGAAAGACTCTTCCACCACTGGACAGAAAAACGAGGAGACAGTCTCATGAGCGAGGCCCGTGAGTGACGTGGAGAGCGGATGTCAGGCCCGCTGACCTCTTCGACTCGGCACCACCGAGTCCGGAAGCATGGGGTGGCCATCTACTCGGCCTCTTTAGCTGCTGCTGCTTCCCCACGGCAGGCTTAGTGCGAGTCCGTGTCCCGATCTCACGTCCTACCCCATCGCTTCCGCTAGCTCTGGAGCCAAGAGGTGGCAAGGGCACTGCTGATTCTAACTTCCAGGCCCACCTTCCCCAGTCCCATCCCCTCTGCTGAAGGAGATTCCCTTCTCATGGGAATCTGGTAGGCCCGCCAGCACCCCCAGGAGGAAAAAGTCACTCACTTCTTTAGAAGCACATCCCCCCCCCCCCCCCCCCCCCCCCCNGTTGGTCACCACCTTGCTTTGTGCGGCCGCGGGGAAACCAGGGCTCCGCGGGGGACACCGGCCTCTGACCCCCCATCTGCACAGGGCACCGGGCAGGGCGCGCCCCCTCATCTCACGGGACGCCCCCACACACACACCCCCGCAGCACCACCGCCCACACCCTGCAAGCCCGTTTATTTACCTTCTCCACTCCAAGCTGGGCCCATCCCAGCACCAGCCCCCCAGAGCCCGGAGGCCAGCGCCGCGGCTTCCCAGGCTGGGAGAGGCCCTTGCGCGCGCCAGCCGCCGCGGCCGCCGCCGCCGCCGCCCCCGCGGTTTAACCCTCCGCCCTGCGGAGTTCATCCTCTCCGGGCTTCAGGCTGCAAAGTTTGCCAGGCGCTTTTTTCCGGCGGTTTTCCTCCACACAACCGGCCCTAAGAAATCCTGCACAGAGATTTCCCTCTACAGGTGGTTGTGAGCTGTAGCAGTTTTTGCTCTTGCCATAGAAATGTGGTGGTTTGGGGTGTTTTTCTTTAATTTCATTTTACCTGCTGTTCAGGATTTTTTAAAAAATTATTTGGCCGGCCCCCACTAAAGACGCAGCATTCCTCCAAATAATGGGATGAGAGATTAAATTCTCTAGGCAAGAAATGTTACTACTACCGTCACCACCACTGTGCCCTGACTCCATCTCCCCACTCTCCCCCACTTTGCTCTCACTTCATGAAGCCTTTTCTGAACTAAAATTGCATGTGCAAAATAATGACAAGAATGAAGACACTTAGTGAATGAGAATCAACCCCAAATCTGACAAAGTGGACAAACTGCCCACTACAGAATCCCCCTGCATGCCGCCCCCCCCCAAGACATCAGGGTGGGGGGAGAGGAGACAGCATCCCCCCCCCCACCCCAGTTTGACACCACAGAACTGTCTTCCAACTGGCATGCCTCCTGCAAAAAACACACACACACACACACACACACACACACCCAACCCCGGGAAAGCCTGCTCAAGAAGTCCAGTCGATTTGTAGGAACATAATGGTTCAATGAAACAGACAGTAATCATGGCCCGTCACACAGCTCTACTCCTCCAAACATCCAGTAACTGACATCATAAACTTTGCAAAAGCCAAACCCAAGACGGTGCATGGTATAACCTACCTTGGCGAGCTGCTTCACTTTTTGTGCAAATGTTTTCCCCTCCGCACGCTTTATGGAGATTTCTAGGGAAATTTGGAAAGGCTGGTGAGGGGGTGGGAGAGGTGAGGGAATGAGGGTAATATAAATAAGGAAGCGTTTTAAATGCACCACGCAAAAAAAAAAAAAAAAAAGCTCGGGATTTCACGTTCTGTGTCTGCACTCTTCCCGGAGCAAAGCAAAACAGTTCTCGTTCAGTGCCAGACTTGGAGGGAGAGGGAGAAGAGAGAGGGAGGGGGAGAGAAGGAGAGGAGAGAGGGAGGGGAGAGTAAGGAAGAGGGTGGGGGAGACTGGAGGAGAGAGGGAGAAGAAGAGAAAGAAAGGCAATGAGGGAGAGATAGAGGGAGAGGAGAGGCGAGGTAAGCGAGGAGGGAGGGGGAGAGAGAGAAGAAAGGAGGGGGAGCCGGAGGAGAGAGAGGAGGCAGCCCCCCTCCCACGCTCCCACCCCCACACATTCAGGCACCTCCTGAGTAACTGATCAGAGCAAGAACTCATCACCCACGTTTGAAAACCCCGTTTGGGGACTAAGTCCCGATGCACACACACTCGGGGGCTATATATAGACAGACCCTAATGATATGCATTGCATTCTGAGCGTAGATGTGTGTGTGCGGATTACATACGGTTCCTTTGACAGGTATGATTTTTTAATTTTTTTTTCTTTTTCTCTCTCTCTTTTTTTTTTGCACTGCAGTGCGTCTGATTATATGTTTGGATTTTCTTTCCCCTCTTTTTTTTTTTGCATCAGGAAAACATGCATCAATTTTGAGGGTGTTCGAGAAGAATGGTGGGGGGTCTCAACGCCTACCAAGCCCTGGCTTGTTTCCCCCTGCAAAGCTGGGATATTTGCAGAGTTGGGGCTGTTTGAAAAGGCTCCAGCTCTGGCTCGGTGTAGCACGCCCAGTTCCAGCAGTGTGTGCTATTGACCTGCATTGACGTCAGTGCGTCATTAGGTCTCCCTTAGAAACACTGACTTTCAAAAATAGTATCAAATTAATTCAGTTGGAGCCTGGTGAAGAAAGGCTACTAGCTGGAATCAGCCATAAAACTCCAGAATTTTCAGCCCCAGATCTCTTCTTCTTTTTCTAGGAGCCAAATAGAAATCAGATTGTATGGAAAATGCCATTGATGGGATTTTTTTTCCCCTTAAGAAAAGGGACCAAATTAGATTGCAAAAACCCAGAACTGCTTTTTTTTCTTTCCTCTTTTTTTCTGATCTAAAAATAACCCCTTGCTTGAGCTGACTGCGGTATCTTTTGTGTTGCAGCTCTCTGCTTTTAGCAGTGTGGTCCTGGTGAAGGGTGGAACACAGTGCAGATATCGATCTATTGATATTTGCAAAGCCAGGAATTAATTTTAATAAAAACGGTTGCAACTCATCGTGGTGGTGGGTAATAGAGAAGAGGGGGCGCCCTGGGAAGATGTATGCCATTCACACTTTATCGTTTCATTTTTTTTTCCAATTCATCTTTTAAAGCTATAATTCCCACCCCACGTGTCTCACGTGGCCTGTGACCAGCACATGCAACCCCCATTCATACAAACACAAAGCACCAGGGCATTCACACTTAGCAGACACAGTACATTCATAAGCAAAGGCTCTGGGATCTTCCTTCCTCTCCTGGTTGCTTGGCAGAAAAGGCATAGCAGCCCACCAAAACAGGTTTCAGTTTAATTGGGGGGACTTAAATATTCAACCTGATAATTAGATTATGTTATTAAAATCTGCATGTATTAAAAATCTGCTTTTTTTGTGGGGAGGAGCCACCACCCTCTTCACATAGTTCACAGTGCAGTTCTAACTGGACTATTTTAAAACCGTACATTTTTCTACATATCTATGAATTATATACGGGAATATAGAGAGTATCTCCCCCATAGAAGCAAGTTGGGTGACAGGTGTCACTCTCAAAACTTTGGGGAGGGGGGATATTGGATTTCTCTATTTTCAGAGAAGGCAATTTATGGAGGCCATTGCCCACAGTTCTTGCTCCCCAATCCTCTCCCCCTGACCCTTTCTCCTTGCACTTGTGCCTCTGATCCATTCAGTCTTTAGCCTCTGCTGAGACTGTTAATGAGGGGACTAATTAGGCCCATTGTGTACAGGGGCCCTCTTGGGAAGCATTTGGATGACAAGTGTTGTGGGGGGTCTTGGGTGGAGGACAAGCGTCCACAATGTATTGAAATTAAGACTTAAAATTATGAGGACCTTTAATTTTTTGGATACACCCACAAAGTCAGGCTTCCCATCCCTCATCACCCAATCATTTTTGCTTATCACTATTTCCTAAAAGAATGAGGCCCTTCCCTTCACCCCCTAAAATCTAGTTGAGAGAGAGAGACAGGGGTAAAACACTGTCATTCTCAAAATTTTCAGACAAGGACAGAAAATGCATAATTCTATTATGCCAGGCTAGTAGGTCAGGGGAGTGGAGGGCAGAGAAAACCAAACCCCATCTGGCCCTTGTCAGACCCAAGGAGAAGCCCTGAGGGCTAGTAGGGCCAGAGTTTATCTAAGGACAGTTTCGGTGTTTGGAGGAATCTTCAGCTGGTGACAGACTGACCACATGGTTTTCCTTGTCTTTCCCCCTCTTTCCTCTCTGACGGTTCAGGGAGGGCAAGGCAAGTGCCTATGGTGTGTGCCGCCACAAGGGCAGCAGCAACAGGGAGATGCTGTGAGAAAACCCTGTGTTTCTCTCTGCCCCCAACCCAGCAGAGTCTGTAGACTGTGGTAAAGAAACTGATCGGTGGATGCTTCCAGCCAGCCAGGCACCTGCAAACCACTACCCCGGCTTGCAAGGGCTCCCAGACACCCTTCATCACAAATGCATTCATTCACAGAAATCTACAGCCATTCATGCACCTGCACACAGCGACATTCATTCATATTTTAGCCACAGCTGCAGCCACACATTTGCCTGCAAAGGCTGAGCAAGTGTGCACAGCAGAAACATGTTTTTAGAAGGCTGCATTCCACCCCTCCCTTCTTGAGCACAGACACACACACTGACATACATCCTCACTGTCTGCCCTGCTTCCTTCCCCTTGAAAAGAACAGATTTCTACCACAGAAAGTGAAAGCGAAGCCACTCAGTCTTGTCTGACTCTTTGCGACTCGGTGGACTGTAGCCCACCAGGCCCCTCCGTCCATAGGATTCTTCAGAATCCTGAATACTGGAGTGGGTTTTCTTCCTTCTCCAGGGGATCTTCCCAACCGAAGGATCAAACCTGGGTCTCCCGAACTGCAGGCAGGCACTTTACCCTCTGAGCCATCTGCCATACAGACAGTTGAATCCCCAGCCTGTATAAAGACCTACTGACCTCGCCCATGATTAGATCATGGATGAGATGCCCGAGCGCTGGCAGAGGCGCAGATGTCTAGGTGGATGAGGGGAGGCCAATTCTTTTCCTGGCCTGGTTTTCCTCCCTTGGCAGCCTGGTGGACAAAGAGAGGGCCAGGGAGGGGCTTGCAGTGTGGCCCAAGACTGCACAGTGCCCCACTTGGCCTGTTCAGACCATGTCCTTCGGGAAGAGGCGAGAGTTGTGGAGAGCTGTCAAGTCTTGCAGGAGCCAAGACTTGGCATTCCCAGGCCCTGGGAGTCCGTGTGGGTCTGGACACTGAGGTTGGGGAGATGGGGATTCTTCATTTGCCCCTCCAGAGTCGCTTGGGAATTCCTTCATTCTCTTCTGTGCCTCTGGAGGTTGACCTCCATGAATTCTGGTTGTATGGTTCAACCAATGGGGGGACCCTGCCAGGGAAGTCTGAAGACTGGAGAGTCGCGCCATCTTC